GAGAAGCGAGGATGTGTGAAGATAAAGATATAAACTGAGTTGGGTTCATACACTGTTAAAAAAAAATAGCCACAAAAGTCCATGAATCACATTCACTTTAACAGACATGACAGGAAAGTGGAAATATGAGCAAGTGGATTGTTCTCAAATAGGTACTATTATTTTCTAGAATCATTAAAATTAGATTGAATTGTTATGGATTTTTCATGAGGCAGCATTAGACTGCTGCTAGAGGTGCCATCTAATAAAATCAGTGATTTGCAACACAGGAATGCTTCACACCAAAGGAGGCGTCTGCGAATTCATCACACCAGCAAGCTCATTGTTTTACTTGAGAGAAAACCTTTATGAAGTACCAAGGGAACTTGGAGATAAAAATGTACATTTTGTTGTCCTTAATTTTTTAACATAATATAAAGGCTTTTCTCTGTCTATGTTTTTAGTGTTTGCACAACCACATGGTTTGTCCATTTGCTTGTTTGTGCCACTGTTGCTACTTCTGGAGATGAAAAACCAAAGTCTTAGGCAACACCAATGTGGCTCTGGTAGATGTGACCTTAGAATGCATCAGATTTGCTCTGTCCACATACCATCTTTGGGACAAAACAGTCCCACTGGTACTCTTTCTTATAGTCACTGGCCCCCTTTGTAAACCTTGATGAGTTGGGGTACAGGACCTCCCAACCACATTTTAATTCTCCTGGGCGCTTGGATATGACCACTTTGCTTGTGCAGTGCCCAGCTTAATAACACAGGATAAATAATATTCAGAAATGTTATTTTGATGATGACCTTATTTACAAATAGTTATCTCTTCTTGAGGTTTTTTCTTCCAAGCCAGATGTGTCTGCATAAAACACATGTTCTTGGATTTTTCCTTCCTACAGTTACACTTAAAAAAATGTTTGGATTTGCATTTAGAAACAAATTTCCTCTCCAACATTGGGGATATACTCTAGAAGTTCCCACAAATGATTTGAAAACAGTACATATTCCTCTGCTGGGTACAGAAAATTCTCCAACTAGAAACCACACTACAAAATGTTAACAAGAACAACTGATACTTTGGGCTGGGTATCAAGACCTTTGGCTGCCTGCAGTTTTGACTGCAAAGGGAAAATTCAAAGTTAGAAATTGTGAATATGTAACTTGAAAGGGGTTTCAACCTTCAATCCTTGAGGAAAAACACTAATATAAGGGAAAGAGTTGTGGCTATATACAAATAATGTCCAATCAAAATTCATTTATATTTCCCATTGACTGAAGTTCCAAGATGCCTTACGACTCAGAGTTTTCAAGAATAATAATCACATCTATCATGTGTTGGAAAGGGCAGAGGTGGGTGGGAGTGAGAATTCGATGAAGGAGAGTGAAAGGACAGGGCAGGTAAGTGAGTGCTAGACATTGGCTTGTAAATGGGCACCTGGGTGACTCAGTCAGTTAAGCAACTCATTCTTGACTTTGGCTCAGGTCATGATCTCACGGTTTGTGAGATCCAGTCCCACATTGGGCTCTGTGCTGACAGTATGGAGCCTGTTTGGGATTCTCTGTCTCCCTATCTCTGCCCCTCCCTAACTTGCTCTCTATCTCTCTCTCTCAAAATGAACAAAAATAAACAACAACAGAAAAAACATTGATTTGTAAAATTGAGAAATACCAGGTAGATACAAGGGGTAAAACAGATTCAGAGAGAATCCAATCAAAGCCAAATATTTTAAGATAAATATTCTAAACTTGGGTTTAGTGTGGTAGGAAAAAAAATCTAGGGCAGGTGTGATGTAATTTAATAGTTGTACATGTTTTAAAAATGCTCTGCAATCGCTGCTAATTACATACCCAATGAGTCACCTGTGCCATTTGGCAAATCTAAGTCTGCATTGATTGAAGCATGGAGTCCAAAGCTACAGCATTTTTCTTGGTTATGAGACCTGAACCCTGCTGTCAGCCAGAGATGGGCTTTGGATTTGGGGTTCCACATGTCTAGACTGAGTTAGCAAGGAGGCTGGTTGTGATATCTGGGGTTGGAGTAAGCACTGTAATCTGCTGCTTGCATTTTCTCTTCCACTCCCAAGTGACCTTTCTCTGATCTAGCAGTTCATGCCATCACAGTTATTCGTTTAGTTACAAAAATATGCACTAGAACAACAGTGTTTTTCTAATTATCATCTTCCCCTTGTCATTCTTAATCTTGACTCAGTATAGGCTAAAGATTAGGTATAAAGACCATGGGAATCGACACAGCCCCTTGGAGACCATAGTGTCAGAGAGTGTGAGAGCAGTACAGGGTTCAGGTAGGCACTAATGGTGTTGTGAACTGTTGAGTGAACAATTTAGAGACCATCCTTCCAGTGCCATATAGTGAGCAAAACAGAAAAATCCCTGTCTTCATGCAGTTTACATTACAGTAGGAGACAGACAATAAAAATAAACAAGTAAAATATACAGTCCAGCAGAGAGTAACAAGTTCTCTAGCAGATGTGATCAGTGCCCTCTCTGATTCCCCTGGACTCTGTTCCCACCTCCTATTGGGAGCCTCTGCAAAGCAGAGGGCCTTCTCTGGCAGCTGAAGGACACCTGCCCAAGCACAGAGATAGGAACCTCCAGAACGTTAAAGTCCCAACCACCACCACTACCCCCACCCCCCACAGAAGCTCTCAACACCCACTGATGAGAATTGATGGGTAAACATGCCAACTTCCTGACGCCTCAGACATCCTCCAAGGCATGTCCGTGCAGTTTCCCAGAAGCTCTGGCAGGACTGAGTCCCAGTTGCCCACAGCAGTAAACTGCTGACTGCAGCACCCTGAACTCCCGTTTCAATCTCCCACACCCCACTGGTCTTCTGGGGATCACCGCATATCAACCACTGCATTCAAATCCTTCTCTAAGATCCTGCTTCTGGGCAAGACAAGTGTTACAGAAACATGATGCAGACAAAGACACGAAATACTGAGTAGAGCGAAATATTAGATGGGGTGATTGGGAAAGCCTTCGCTGAGGTCATTTTGGAGAAAAAAAAAAAACTAGGATGGGGCGCCTGGGTGGCTCAGTCGGTTCAGCTTCCGACTCTTGATTTCAGCTCAGGTCATGATTTCACGGTTTGTGAGTTCAAGCCCCACGTTGGGATTCTCTCTCGCGCCTTCTTTCTCTCTGCCCATCCCCTGCTCACTCACTTGCTCTCTCTCTCTCTCTCTCTCTCAAAATAAATACATAAACTTAAAAGAAAAAAGACTTGGAGGGAAGGAGGAATGAGGTCATTATAGTTCCACACTAAGGTCACTGCCAAGCCTACCACACTATGTTACATCCAGAGCCATGGTAAAGGATTTGTTCAGCTTGTCCCGGGGCGGCGGGGGGTGGGGGGATGTCCCTCTCTGGTATTTGAAAATAAAGTGTTCATCCCTAGTAATTTGGTGAGGTTTGGATTTTTCACTGCTAGAAGCAAAACATTGATTTTCCTTCACAGCTTTTTGATATAAATGTATGTGAAGCCCATAGGGCATCTTGCCCTCTTATTCTTATTATAAGATGTCTTGTCAACTGTCTTAACTCAAGGCCACAGAACTGACTCAATACTGTGACGTTCTCTCTCACAGGAATTCTCAACAAAATTTCATGAGTACAGATATGAACGTGGTGGGGATTTATGTCACTTTCACTTAGACCTTCCAAAGAATAAAATGTCATTCTTTGTAGCCACCCTGAGCTTACTGTATGACACACTGACCCTTTATGTATAGTGACCTGCAATATATGCATAATATGTATATACAGAGAGAAAGACAATTTCACAGAACCATTGGCTTCTAAAATTAGATGCTGGAGCACCTGGGTGTCTCAGTCAGTTAAGCATCCAAATCTTGATTTTGGCTCAGGTTATGATCCCAAGGTTGTGGGATGGAGCCCAGAGTGAGCACGGAACCAGCTTGGGATTCTCTCTCTCTCCCTTTCTCTCTCTCTCTCTCTCTCTCTTTCTCTCTCCCTCCTCGCCTTTGGCCCTCTCCCCTGCTCACTCACTCTCTCTCTCTGTCTTTAAAAAATAATAATAATAAAAGTAAATAAATAAAATTAGAAGTTACCTCAATAGACAAATCTCTTACTCAGGACAGTGATCCCTGCCCCATCATTCCTGTTTGGGAGGTCGCCAGGTCCTGCCCGTGTTCTCCTGGTCTTGACTTGACAGTTCTACTTAAACAAAAGTACAAATCTACCTAGCTGATTGCAGACTCACAATATTATACACCATGCACATCACAGATGCCTCACTGTAAGTTTGTATTATAGCGTAGCCCCCACAGTAGATATTTTACCCCAGGAATGCAAGCCAGCTATTCTACTGAGCTTAGTTAGAGACCATCTAGGATTCCAGCTTTATTTTCACACCTGACAAAGACTTTGCATTGCCAAATTGCCTCTGTCAGAGAAGCTTCCACTTTTAGTTGATAAGCGTTCAACAGGCTTTCCCAAAACTGATTGTGTGCCTGACCAAAATTAGCTTAAAAACTAAAATTGCATGGTAAATTAGAGAAGCCAGGCATGAGAATGAATTTCCCACAGACAAATATTTTCATTAGACATTTTTGTTGAAGCTGACAGACTACCAGAGAGAAGAATCTTTCAAAATGTCTCCACAGCCTGGAGTGACCCGTGGCAGGCACCTGTGTGCCAAAGATGTGTGATGTGGATCAGACTGCATCCAGAAGATCTATCCCAAGGTGGCCTTTGTAGGAGGGCTCTAGGCTTACAAACCAGAGACGTTTGGAGAGTATGACCACAACATGTGAAATTTGAAAATAGGTCTGGACCAGAGGAGAGCACCTCTGTGACCCTCCTATTCGATCAAATTGGCCACAAGATCCCTGAAGCAGAACTTGTGCTTGGTCCTCTGGATTAGAAACCACCAGGGCTTGAAGTGGACCTCATTTCTCTATTAGTAGGAATAATCTTGGTTGCAAGAAACAGCTCACTTAAATTTCATGAACAATTAAGGAAATTTTTACCTCACAGCTCTCTAAGCAGTGATCACAGATGACTGGATCAAAGTCCTGGTTCATTTCTCTTTGATTTTCTCTATTCTCTTTCCATGTCTCTGCTTCAAGTTGGCTGTAATAGTTCCTGGACTAACACTGTAAACATGCCCAGAGGAAGAGATGTCTGGTGCCCACTCTTAAAGCTAAAGAAACGATTCTACCCAAGGTCCCTGGCAAGCATCTGTTATTGTGATATATGTCTATTCCAGGAACAATCACTATGACAGTAGGGACAGAATTACCCTTACACCAATCAGGAACCCCCTGGAACTGGAGATGGGCTCATCTGCCCCCGGAGTCCATGAGTGGTGTCAGCAAAGGTGGATTCCTAGATTGAAAGTAAGTTACTTTGGGGAAAGGGAAGAAATATAGAATTTTTTTTCTGGGAGAAAACTGACAATATCCTCTGCATTCATATTGCAGCTTGGTGCTCTCTAGTCTTTCCTTTTTCTTGATCAAAATTCCTGGGATCCAAGAAGCATAACAATAACCATAGCAAAAGTCCAGAGAAGTCTTGGATTCTTGCAGTTTACATAGAATTGAAAAATCACTGACCCATTCCATTTCTTCCAGTAATGTGCCAAACTGTCAGATCTATATGCTGACAGAGGTTTTTAAAAGCTCTATGCTCAACTTTTTGCAATTGATAATACTGAGTGATGCCAATAATGAAGTCATATCTTTACAACACCTATCTTCATTCTTCATTGTCATTAAGCTGGAAAATTTAACTATTCAGTATGATGATCATTTCCAGCCTTTGATAAGATTTTTCCATTTTCTCTCTTTTTTTAATGCTTTTAAATTGTAATAAAGCTTTAAAGACTGAGCTACCAATAGTTTCATTTGTCTATCTTTCAACTATAATGAATACAGATGGGTAGAAAGGAAAAGAAATCCTGGATTTGGTCTAATCCTATAATCTTTCTCATTTGCTTGTGAAAGGTTGAATAATTCTAGATGAATACCTTGTAATGCCAGTGTTTTCTCATACCAATGATTTATTTTCTCATTGACACTAAAGAAATATTCAATATAATGTGCATATATAAACTACAAAATGATAATAACCCACATATGAAAAGTCATAAGTAACCAGTGTAATCAAAAGTAATGTGTAAGTCTGCATGCATATACACACACATCATTAATACAGAAATACATCCTAGGAAAGAGACCACAGAAATACTAAATGGAAAAACAAAAACAAAAACAAAACACTGAGTGCATTTTCTGCCCCATAAAATAAGAAATCATGATGTTTTTCTTTCTAACCATATTTGTCCAAATATCATAGTTGATATATCCATATTGTGATAAGCTGTGACATTAAAACTACTTCTACTGGAGTCCACTTCGAAAATTTTATTTTACTTCCCTGCCATTTACCCAGTAATTTGTCAGTCTAGTTATGTATGTGGAAAAAATGGACTTCTGGGCCTCATATATCTCCAGAGAATTGATGCTGTCTGCACATAAATTTTACTGTTTTCCTAGTCAAAAAAAAAAAAAAAAAAAAGTGAAACCCCTAGTGTGCTAGGTCCAGAAAATAAAGAAAAATAAAGTCAGCTCAATTTTCCTTGGGTTGGCAGTACACTGTGGTAAATGATGAAAATGTTGTAATACGATAAAGTGATAAGTAATGATCTTCTGATCCACAGTGAGCTCTGTCTACTAAATGAGAGATGTTGCATGAAAATGAACAACCTTTCCAATGAGGGAGATAAAACAAGCTCTGGGGGCACCTGGATGGCTCAGTCAGGTAAGCCTCTAACTCTTGGTTTCAGCTCAGCTCATGATCTCACAGTTTCATGAGTTCAAGCCCTGCATCAGACTCTGCACTGGCATCATGAAACCTGCTTGGGATTCTCTCTCCCTCTCTGTCTGCCTCTCCCCCACCCACACTGTCTCTGTCTTTCTCAAAATAGATAAATAAACTTAAAAAAAATTAGCTCTGGAAGGAAAATTTCTGAGTGAGCAGTGGTAGGTGTGTAAGTAGTCTGTTTATCTCCTCTGCAGTTTCATCTATCTCTTGCTGAGTCTCTTACTCCGATTCTACCTTGTTGTCAACACTCCGACTCTCAGGGCAATGTTCTTCCCTTTTTGATATTCTGACTCAAGTATATATAAAACCAAAATCCATTTCACTCATCCTAAGATCAAAGCAGTTTGAGTTAATTTCCAAAGGAGATGAAAAAATACAAGATTTAAACTTACAAAGCACAGTGTCCTGATACCCAGTTTATTCAGTTCATAAGCCCTGTTTCATTTAACAAGCAATCTCAGATGTGTTAAAAAGGACTAGGGAAAAGAATTGTGGGTTATTTTGCTTATGATTGGCACAAATTTGAAAGGGAAATGGAGATACAAAAAGGTGATATATAGTTCAATCATGAAAATTCATTATTTTATAGATAGGCATATCTTTTTACAAACTCAAGCAAATTTAAAGTAATAATCTCATCTTAATTTAAAGCATTCACTGTGTTTCTACAGAAATTTTTGAGTATCAGGGATATAATCCTCTGAGTATTAAAGGCATATTTAAAAAGGTTTTTACTTTCATTAATAGAAATTGGATGATGTAGACCAAACTTATTGCCAAGAATGACTTGAAAAGATGAACAAACATTTTTTGAATGTTTGAAGGCACAGATAGTAAGACAGTAAGCAATTACATAATCTTGGCCCAGAAACATAAGGAAACCCAAGAAAGCCTGGAATTTTTTTTTTAAATATAGTTTATTGTCAAATTGGTTTCCATATAACATCCAGTGTTCATCCCAACAAGTGCCCTCAATGCCCATCACCCACGTTCCCCTCTTCCCCACCCCCATCAACCCTCAGTTTGTCCTCAGTATTTAAGAATCTCTTATGGTTTGCCACCCTCCCTTTCTGTGACTATATTTCCCCTTCCCCTTCCTCATGGTCTTCTGTTAAGTTTCTCCTGATCCACATATGAATGGAAACATGTGATATCTAGCTTTCTCTGCCTGACTTATTTCACTTAGCATAATATCCTCCAGTTCAATCTACATTGCTACAAATAATCAGATTTTATTCTTTCTTATTCCCATGCAGTATTCCATTATATATATAAACTACGTCTTCTTGATCCATTCGTCTGTTGATGGACATTTAGGCTCTTTTCATGTTTTGGCTATTGTTGAGTGTGCTGCTATGAACATTGGGGTACATGTGCCTCTATGCATTAGCACTCTTGTATCCCTTGGGTAAATTCCTAGCAGTGCTATTGCTGGGTCATAGGGGAGTTCTGTAGAGTAGGTTCCTTAGCCCTCAGATGGTAGTGCTGGCTGAAGACCTGAATATATGAAAGACAAATCCATGCCTGAAATAATATGTCAATTTTGGTCAAGATGGAAGATGCCCAACATAGCCAATTCTTCACTAGATAGCTGGTTGCATTCCTTAAGGGATGCTACTGTATTGGGAAATCAATGTTCTCTCTGCTGCTGGAAGAGTAGACATTCATCAGTGGCAGTAATTAAGTCTCCTTTGTTAAGTGGGAGTCCATGTATTTGGGCCCATACTTAATCTCCATCCCTGCTTAACTGGCTACTCTGTTCATGATCCCAATTGTATCAGCACTGGGATCATCAATGGAAGAAATTGGTAGATGTCAACCAATTCTATGTGGCTATTGAGTGGGATGCTTTCTGATAGGCATGAATATATGCAGCACTTTACACCAAATCCCATTGGTCCATTTATATGCCTTTTCTCCAGAGATCCTTCTGTCTTGTCTTCCATTATTTCCTCTAGGCACCTGACCAATCATCTAAACATACACCTAAAATATCTAGTAAATATTTAGTATTTAGTAAAGAGAAATGAAAACATATGTTTGTACCAACACTTTTACACAAATGTTTCCAGCAGAAAGGAGAGCTGCTGATATGGAAGAGATATAAGGGGGCCTTTGGAGGTACTGGTGATGTTCTATTTTTTGACCTGGGTAAGAAATACACACGTGTTTACTTTGTGAGAGTTTGGGGGAACAAATACTTAGGATCTGTTCACTTTCGTGTTTGTTATATAAAATAATTTAAAATTTTTTTCAAGCCTATAAAAGAGAATATCCCTAAAATACCACTAAATCAAAATATTTATTGTTCCTTTCAGTATGTAATATAAAAATATCATCACCATGTAACTAGCAGTGACATTCAAATTGAGGACTAGCAATTGGGAAGAGACACGTGAATGTGAAGGAAGCAGTAACAAAAAATGTAAGGTTCATATCCTTGCCTAAAACTATGAAGAGTAAAACCTTGATTTTCTCAACTGAATGGCAAAATGGATCAGTTTCATTATTGCGAGGTATTTCCAATAGGAGCAGCAAAATAAACAAGGCTTGAAACAACAACAACAAAAGTGTGTGTCTGTGTCCAAATCTGAAACTAGCCTAAAATTTGAAGTAATTTAAAGAAAGTGACAAAAATAAAAGGGATAATAAATATCTTACACATGGTTTTAAAAGTTAGTTGCAGAATAAATTGTTCTTAGTAGAAATTTAAAACCAGTGATATGGAAAGGGAAGCCTTATTTATTGATATTTATGCACTCCAATGTCCAAATAGGATTTAAAGTGACTTACAGGGAAGAATAAAGATACATAATGGTTCATGAAATAAGAACGAAAAAAGGAAAGCAGTGTTATAAAAAATAAGGGGGAGGAATAAATATGCCAACCATCAAAAATGTTTCCAATTCAGATATTTCCCCTGAGCTCCAGACTTACATATATCCTATTGCCTTTTGGATTTGAACTATGATATTTGTACTTTAAAGTGCCTCAGCATAGACAGAGTTACCTATATACCTGCATTAGTAAATTTAAGTTGTACCTAGGTATTATCAGTTAACCTAACCAGGAATCCATATCCAAAAGGCAGTCAGCTACTGCTCTAATCAAGAAGCCCAGCTCCAGCTGCCTATTATACTTGCCTCTCTTATCTTCATCTTTCATCAATACCAGAGGTTTATAATTAGCATAATAAATGTTTAAAAAATGAGTTTCACTGGTAAAGTGAATAGCCCAGAGGAAGTTAGAAATAAGCTCTCTTGAGGGAAAAATGAATGGTATTTCACTGATATTTATTGAATAAAGTACATTCAGGACACTCTTCTCCTGATAAAGTTTAAGGAGACAGCAGAACAGAGTGAACCTTTATAGACAGTGGTTGAGATTTTATACCTCAACAGCCATGGGACTGGGGGCTTATTGCTTCATGTATCTGAACCTCTTATGAAGATGGCATTGTGATAGCTAATAGGACAGAGGACGACTCTTTCAACCTTACAAAACACTTTATATTAATTATTTGGTGCCTGCTTGCTAATAAATGTTCACCTTAAATACAAAGGTCTGTGTGCATGGCAGAAATTGCTCTAAAACTTGTCATCAATGCAACCTGATATCAGTCTATAGAATAGCTGACCCTCATCCATCTTGGATTTTGAGGTCCTTACTACTATCAAGCGAAAAGAACCTGAGAGTTATGCAGAATCAAACTGGCTAGGTCAGTTCACAATTTACAGTTGAGGTTCCTCTCAAATGCAGAAAGCCAAAGCTAAAAAGCTACCCTGCCCCCAGCCTGCGATTCCTTCTGTTTTCTTTTTTCCTCAGTTAATAAGACTCCCATTATCTTGTCATTCAAGCCAAAATCTGGTGTCTTTCTAATTCCATCCCTGCCTCACCCAATACAATTTCCGATATGCTAATACCTCTCTAAGTTGTTGCATTTTTTAAATATATTAAGTAATTTAATCTTACAGTAGGGTATGAGGAGAAAACTGAAGCACCAAGCTTGAGTAGTAACAAGGTCACATGGCTACTAAGAGGTGGAACTAAGATTCAAACCCAGGCAGCCTAGGTCCAGAATCTTCACTCTTACCCACAACTCCTATCAGTTTTACCTTCTTAAATATGTTCACCTATATCCTTATCTCCAAGCCCACTACCATCCCTTATGCCCTGCACCTTTTCTTGCCTAAATAACTGTGAGAACCTCTGGTCTCAGACTTCTCAGACCCATTTATACTATCTGTATAAAATATAGAAAATACACAAATACGAAAATTATGCCATGGTGTTCACCTACTTCAAACCTTCAGAGGTTTGTCATCACCACAGTTTGATGGCTGGACTCCTTGGCAAAAGTCTTAGGGCCCTTATGATCTGGTTGGCCCACTTTCCCCCCTGAGATCAGCCCCAATCCACATAGCACTCCAGGCCCGAGCTATGGCAGCCTATCTAAAGACCGAGAAACTCTCTCCTACTCCTTGATGCTTCTGTTCTTGCTGTTTTCTCTACTGGGAATGCCTTTCCTCTCCCTATCCACTTGAAGAAATTCTATCCATCCTTCAAGATGCAAATCCTCTATGACAGCTTACCTATTGCCCCGTGGAATTAGTCAGCTCTTCTGCTGCATTCCAAAAGAGTTCCTACACTTGGTTTTATTATAGCATGTGTTCTCACATGTCTGTTTCTTCTATTTGCATTCATGGAGGGCAAGTGTTACGTCTTCCCTTGGCATCTCTAGTACTACCTGGTCTCTAGTCATGTAAATAAATAGGTATTTAATAAAACAAAAGAGTGATTGACACAGCAAATATGGTGATTGACCATATTCAGGTTAAAGATTTGGCTCTAGGCTTCTAGGAAGCCATGGCAAAATAAAGGAGAGAGAGTGAAGAGAAGAAGGAGGAGGGAGATGCAAAGAAGGAAGGAGGGAGGAAGAGAGGGAAGGAATGAAGAAGAAATACACATTATATTACTTCCAATTAAAGGTTACTATAAAAACCGGATGTGTAAATTCTGCTTTTTCATTTTCTATACTGTTTTTGAACTGCAGTGAACATAAGGGAATGAGAGAGTTAGAAAGATTGGAATTGTCTTCAGAATGTGTTATGTTGGCATCTGAGATTTCACAGAAAAGTCTGGATGGTGATAGGGGCTGCCACTGACTCCAGGACTCAGAATGGCTACAGGGCTTTTGAAAGTCCTTCTAGTCTCTGTGCTAGATCCAGGTGCAAAAACAAACAGAGCCCCTACTTCATGGACTTTTCTTGCTAATTGGGGGAGGGAAAAGGTATATACTTATCAGTCAAGATCTGATCAGGGAAAACAGAAACCACCTCTCCCCAGTTCTGTTTTGTTCCCTTCCACAGATGATGATCTCCTGAAGAGTCTCACATTACCAAGCTGATCTCCATCTCAGAAGCTGCTTCCAGGGAGCGCAACCTGTGTCACTAGCACTTATAGAATGTTCAGAACAGATCGAGGGCCAAGAAGTCTCCCCAAGACCCAGTGTATTCACTGACTTTGGACTTTGCACAGGGTTCTAGATACAAACTACTAATAATAGCCAACATTTACCAAGTACTTATTACCAAGCCAAAAATTTATACATGTTAATTCATTTCATCTTTACAATTTCATTTTACAGATGAGGAAACCAAGGCACAGAAAGTTAAGAAGCTTGATTAAGATCATATAGCTGGTATGTTAGAGGTGCTAAGTGATAAATACAGTCTTTGATGTAGACAACCCCTCACTGTAATTCTCCTCATGCGCATGGGTTTGGTAAATGTTTGTTTTCCTGTGTTGGTGAATGTAGATACCCACATTCTCTTGGTGGAACCAGATATTTAGAAGAAAACTATACATACTTTTTATTAATAGATTTTTTTTTCTTTTTGTGTTCTATTTATGTGAATACCAACATTTCTTTGCATTAATCAGATACACCATCTAGAAGGGGTAAGACAGACCCAGAACTAAACATCTGTTGGAATAACTCCTAGAAGAAGTACTCAAGTAGATCCTCAAGGGTCAAATATGTGGGTATATTAAAATTATTCTTAACCATTTCTTACTGTGAGTTTTAAATTGTTTTTCACCTTTATCAAGGTATAATTGACACATAGGAATTGCATGTATTTAAGGTGTGCAGCTTGATGTTTTGAGAATGAAACATTGTATACATTGTGAAACGATCACCACAATCAAGCTAATCAACATACCCATCACTCCACATTTACTGCTTTCCTTCTCTTTCTTTTTTTCAAAATGACAACTAAAATAGTGAGAACATTCAGAATCTTCCTTCTTAACAAACTTCAAGTATACAATACAGTATGTTCACTGCAGACCACGTTGTTCCAATGAGACAACAGCACACACCTGTTAAAATAGCAATGATCAAAAAGACAAGAGATAACAGGCGTTGGTGAGGATGTGGAGAAAAGGGAACCCTTGTGCACTGTTGGTGGGAATACAAACTGGTGTAGCCACCAAGGATAAGAAGAGGTTCCTCAAAAAATTAAAAACAGAATTACCAATGGTCCAGCAATCCCACTTCTGTATATGTACCTGAAGGAAATGATACCACTATCTCAAAGGAATATCCATTCTTCCATGTTCATTGCAGCATCAGTCACAATACCCAAGATATGAAAACAACCTCAATATCCATCAAAGGATGAATAAAGAAAATGTGGTATGTATAAATAACAATGAAATGTTATTCAGCCTATAAAAAGAAAACTCTTGGGGTACTTAGGTGGGTCAGTGGGTTAAGCATCTTGATTTTAGCTTAGGTTATAGTCTCATGGTTCATGAGTTTGAGCCTCATGTTGGGCTCTGTGCTTAAAGTGCAGAACCTGCTTGGGATTCTCTCTTTCCCTCTCTCTCTGCCCCTTGGCTTGCCTGCCTCTCTCTCTCTCTCAAAATAAATTAAAAAATAAACATTTTTTTAAAAAGAATAAGAAAACCCTGCCATTTGCAACAACATGGATGAACTGGAAGACATTATGCTAAGTGAAATAAAGCAGATAAAGACAAATATTGCATGATCTCATTTATATGTTAAATCTAAACCATGAGAGACTCTTGAACACTGAGAACAACCTGAGGGCTGATGGGGATGGGAGGGAGGGGAAGGGAGGTGATAGGCATGGAGGAGGGCACTTGTGGGGATGAGCACTGGGTGCTATATGGAAATCAACTTGACAATAAACTATTTTAAAAAATAAAATTCAAACATGGACAGATTTAAAAAACAAAAATAAATAAAATAGTAAAATTCATAGAAGCAGGGAGTTGAATAGTGGTTGCCAAGAGAAGGGGAAATGGAAAATGTTGATCAAAGGTGACGATGTTTCAATGAGGCAAGTTCTGGAGACCTAATGTATCCTTAACCTTTTAATTGTAGTAATATGTAAAAGTGCATCATTTGTCAAACTTGTGGCTAGAAGAAATGGTATCCCATATACTACATTCCAAAGGCCAAGAAATCATGGATGGTTTGCAGTTATCATGACTTGTCTACTTCCTAAGTTTCCATTTCTAGAAAAATGTCTATTTGACAGAATTCAATACAAAAAGAAACCATTATGTAGGAAACAAAAATAGTAAATCAAACTTCCTAAAAAGATCTAATTGGCTTGGTCTTTAAGGTCCAGTTTCCTTTTGTGGCTGGGACAGGGTCCTAAACACATTCTTGATTGTGTTAGTATTCATATAATTAAATGACAATAAAACAAGTTCTCCTTTATATATATTTTCTTTTTCAGCCTCTATAGTGTGAAATAAACATGAAGCTGTCAGAGAGAATGAACTGAGACAGGCTGAATTAATTTGCCAATGATGATAGTCATTATAAACAATCTGAATACTGTTCCACCTCACTGGGATTTAAATAATCTGTCAAAAAGTCACTTTATTCTAAAATATGCATGTGAAATCAGGGGACATGAGGAAGAAATGAGGGTACAGTTAGTAAAGCCAATAGAAATTCTCTCATTCCTGACACCAACCCAAAAAAGACTCTCTAGGGGCACTTGGATGGCTCAGTTGGTTAAGCGGCTGACTCTTGCTCTTAATTCAGACCATGATCTCATGGTTCATGAGTTCAAGCCCCATGTCAGCCTCTGAGCTATCAGCTTAGGATTCTCTTTCTCCTTCTCTGTCTGCCTCTGCTTGTGCTCTCTCTCTCTCTCTCTCTCGCTCTTGCTCTCTCTCTCAAAATAAAGAAATAAACATTTTTTAAAAATTAAATTTTTTTAATTTTGAAAAAGAGGCCCCCTTAGGATTAATTTCTTTAATCCCCTCTTCTCTCCCTCCTTCAAATGCCATCTCCATGGAAATAATTATTGCTAGCCCATTTCTTCTTCAATATTTAGGAATATCACTCCATCTTTAGAAAATTACCTCTTCAGGACCAGCTAGAGGCAAAAGTATTAAATAGGATGAGCTTTTCTGTCATTTTAAAAATGAGAGTACCTAAGGCCAATGAAGATCTGGTTACATGTAAAGTCTCAAAAATTGCTGGAGGGGGCACCTGGGTGGTTCAGTCGGGTAAGCGTCCGACTTCAGCTCAGCTCATGATCTCTCCTTTCAAGGGTTAGAGCCCACGTCCGTCTCTGTGCTGACTGTCAGCTCAGAGCCTGAAGCCTGTTTCAGATTCTGTATCTCCCTCTCTCTCTGACCCTCCCACGCTCACGCTGTCTCTCTCTCTCTCTCTCTGTCAGAAATAAATAAAACATTAAAAGAATATATTTTAAAACTTCCTGGAGAGAATGTAAAAGTCTTTTGAAAATCAAATTATCAATTGTATTCCTTATGAGAATATGCTCTAATGTAATCATCCTGAAGACTGAAAACCCTTTATGCATAAAAATATTTCCAACAGTGTTGGCATTTGTAATGAGAAAACATGGAAATAAATTATATGTCCAGCAATACGAGAATGGCTAAATAAAATATGATGAACCACACAGGGGAATGGTATGAGCGATCTTAAAATTTGGTGAAAGTTTTAATAACATTTTTAAATCATCTGCTATCAAGTTAAATGAAAAATGGCAGGGGGTGCCTCGGTGGCTTAGTTGGTTAAGCGTCCGACTTTCGCTTAGGTCATGATCTCACGGTTCGTGGGTTCGAGCCCCGCGTCGGGCTCTGTGCTGACTGCCAGCTCAGAGCCTGGAGCCTGTTTCAGTCTGTGACCCCCTCTGTCTCTGACCCTCCCCTGCTCATGCTGTCTCTCTCTCTGTCTCCTAGAAATAAATAAAACATTTAAAAAAAAATGAAAAATGGCAGACTATGAAGTTGTATACTTATGCTCTCAGTTATGCTAAAATCATGGTAAAGAGTCAAAGATAGCCAGGTCAATTTTGAAGAAAGTAGAGGAGGGGGATTTTACTCTTCTAGCTATGAAGGCTTGCTATTGTTGAGCTCTAATGATTATAATAGTATTATAGAAGAAATAGATGAACAGATCAATGGACAGAAACTTTACATATGGTATTTTATATATATATATATATGTATATATATATATATACACACGCGCATGCACACACACACACACACACACATACAGGCATACCTCATTTTATTGTGCTTAGGAACTTCATTTTTTACATATGAAAGGACTGTGGCAATCCTGCCTCAAGCATCTCTAATTGGCACCATTTTTCCAACACTGTTTGCTCACTTCATGTCTCTGTGTCACATTTTGGTAATTCTTTCAATATTTCAAAATTTTCAATTATATTTGTTATGGTGATCTGTGATCTTCAATGTTATCTCATGGAGAACCATGTTCACATAAGACAGAAAGCATAATTAATAAATGTGTGTGTGCTGACTGTTCCACTGACTGCCCTTCCCCCACCCTCTCCTCAGGCCTCCCCATTCTGTGAGGCACAATATTGACATTAAGCCAACTAATACTTTACAACTGTCCTCTAAGTGTTCAAGTGAAAGGAAGAGTCCTAAATCTCTCAACTTTAAGTCAAAAGCTAGGTCTGATGAAGCTTAGTGAGGAAGGCATGTCAAAAGTCAAGATAGACCATAAGCTAGGCCTCTTGAGCCAAACAGACACCCAAGTTGTAAATGCAAAAGAAAAATTGCTGAAGGAAATTAAAAGTGCTACTCCAGTGAACACATGAATGACAGAAAGCAAAACAGCTGATATGAAGGAAGTTTGGTCTGGATAGATGATCGAACCAACTACAACATTCCCTTAGGCCAAAGCATAATCCAGATCATGGCCCTATTCTCTTCAGTTCTCTAAAGGCTGAGAGAGGTGAGGAAGCTGCAGAAGAAAAGTTTAAAGCCAGCAAAATTTGGTCCATGAGGCTTGAGGAAAGAAGTCGCCTCTGTAACATCAAAGTGCAAGGTGAAGCAGCAAGCGCTGAGGGAGAAGCTGCAGCAAGTCATCCAGGAGATCCAGCTAAGGTCATTAATGAAGGCAGCTATGCTAAACAACAGATTTTTATTTTATTGTATTTTTAATTTCTTTTAAAGAAAGGCATATGCCATGTTCAGTGCCTCATTTGGACATGTCTGGAGACTTGGAAGCTTGACTACCCTACATTCTCCTACAAATGGACCTCGAGAGCTTGTTTGGAGTTTCTAGCAGGGGAGAGCAACTACCCATATACCCTTGACTGAACAATGGTCCTCCTCCATCTGGGAAGGTCGTCTTCTTCAACCGTGCTCGCAGCTTCCAGAGGGAAGCACATGGAGCAGTGAGGGAGGAAGAGGACACCTGCCTAGCCAGCCAGATCAGCCAAATCAACCCTGGTGATCAATGGGGTGACAGATGTTGCAGTCAGATTGCCCTCACATTCTAAACAACATATTTTTAATGTAGGCAAAACAACTTATATTCACCGAAAATGCCATCTAGGACTTTCACAGCAAGAAAGGAAAAAATCATGGCCTGGCTTCAAAACTTCAAAGCAAAGGCTGACTCAGTAGGGACTAATGCAGCTGATGACTTTAAGTTGAAGCCAATGCTCATTTACCATCCTGAGGATCTTAGGGCCCTCAGGAATTAGGCTTAATCTACTCTGCCTGTGCTC